TAATTCTAGAGCAAATGACTTGGCACAACAAGCATCTGGCTATAATGTGAAAAAGGGATTATTTCTGGTATTAGAAGAACCGGTGCTTGATTTTAAATCTTTGTGCGAAATTGGCAAAACTGGAGACCAGGGGCAGTCTGACCGGCATTGCATGGCCGGTCTGACCAGTGACCAGGGGCGGTCTGACCGGCCTCATGCCGTTGGTCTAACCGGCAACCCCGAGCGGTCTGACCGGCCCTGTGTGGCCGGTCTGACCGGTTCTGGGCAGAGCGCTGGGGGGCACGTTTCAATCAATTTAGAGGCCGAATTAATTGTGAATTCGGACGTTTGTGCCCAGGAAACAGAAGAAGATTGGAGAATTCCTTTGATTCAATATTTGAAAGATCCTACACTTAAGGTTGATCAGAAAATTCGGTGGCAAGCATTCAAATATACATTGCTTGATGGAGATTTGTATCGCCGAAATATAGATGGTGTCTTGTTGAAGTACTTAGATGAAGATCAATCTAAAGTGGCTATGGGAGAGGTACATGAAGGAATTTGTGGAACTCATCAATCGGCCCACAAGATGAATTGGTTACTTAGGAGAGCGGGGTTCTATTGGCCGAAGATGATTGATGATTGCTTCAAATATTATAGAGGATGCGAGGCTTGTCAACGGTTCGGCAATGTTCAATTGGCGCCCGCCGCCGTGTTGAATCCCATAATCAAACCATGGCCGTTCCGATGATGGGCTTTGGATTTCATTGGTCAAATTTATCCTTCGTCATCATAGGGGCATAGGTTCGTGCTAGTTGCTACGAATTACTTCACCAAGTGGGCCGAAGCCATGCCTTTGAAGAATATGACTCATACGGAGGTAATTGATTTTATTTTGAAGCATATTATCCATAGATTCGGTATTCCACAAACATTAACTACGAACCAAGGTGCTTCTTTTATGTCTAAGGAAGTGAAGAGTTTTACCGAATCTTATGGTATTAAATTGTTGAGTTCTTCTCCTTACTACGCTCAGGCTAATGGACAAGCCGAGTCGAGTAATAAGACATTGTTGAAGTTAGTGAAGAAGAAGATTGAGGAACACCCAAAGAGGTGGCATGAGGTGCTTTCCGAAGAATTGTGGGCGCATAGGATATCTAAACATGGTGCTACTAAAGTCACTCCTTTTGAGTTGGTTTATGGTCAAGAAGCCGTTTTACCGGTGGAGGTAAATCTTGGTTCTCTTCGTTATATCAAGCAAGATGATTTGTCAAGTGAAGATTACAAGACATTGATGGGAGACAACCTTGATGAAGTCATCGACAAGCGCTTGAAGGCATTGGAAGAGATAGAGAAAGAGAAGAAGAGGGTGGCCAAGGCGTACAACAAGAGGGTGAAAGCAAAGTTGTTTCAAGTTGGAGACTTGGTTTGGAAGACAATTTTGCCTTTGGGTACTCGATCCAAGGAGTTCGGTAAGTGGTCTCCTAGTTGGGAGGGTCCTTATCGAGTGTGCGGATTTGTTCGAGGAAACGCATACTTTTTGGAGACACTTCAAGGGGAGCGTTTTCAGTGAGCAATCAACGGCAAATACTTGAAGAAATACTTCCCGAGCGTTTGGCAAGACGCTTAGGAGGTACTATGGCCGGTAATTGGGTTATCGTCCTAAGATCAAAAACATGTTCTATGCTTTTAGATTCACGTTGTTCATCAAAAAGGCAGGGGGGCATGTGTTTACACCCAAATTTGGCACTTAGGATTAAGATAGGAAAGATTGCCAAAATTTGGAAGTCTACCGGTTTCCTCCGAGTGGGCCGGTCTGACCGCCGTGTGTTGGGCGGTTAGACCGCCGGTTGAGGGCCGGTCAGACCGGCGGTGTGTGGCCGGTCTAACCAGCAGGTCCAAGTCCGACTGTGTTTCGTCGGGTCTCGAAGTTTCCTTGCTCAGGAAGGCATGTTTTGGATTTCCTTTGGTTTCTACCCCAACTTGGACATGGAGAAGGGACTGTAGAGGGCAAGACCAACTCCTATATAAGGGACATGGCCGGTTCATTGTAAAAAAAAAATCTACAATCAATCAATCGAATCGTTTTTCATATTGCTTTTAGTTTTCTCTTAGTTTGTCCATCTTTGTCGGTTTGCGCCGTAAACCGTCCGCCGCCGCTGCGAGAGTGCGACATCTCTTTGTAGGTTTGTCTTGAAAACCTTCCGTTTTGCCCACGAGACGGGTAGTTATCTAGAAATCGGCTCCGCTAGTCGGTTTAGTTATCAAAACCCATCTAGGTTTAGCTCTTCACTAGATCGAGGTGGTTGGCGACTCTAGGATCACCGCAAGGCTTAAGGTGCTGCGATCGTGCTTGTCAACTTGTCAAAAAAGTTGCCAACACCTCCACCACCCCATGCGCCACCTCCTGGCCTTGCCGGCTGACCAGAAGGTGGCAATGGCGCTGGCGAGCCCTCCCTATCCCCGTGCAGATGGCAGGTCCCCCACCCAATCATCTTTCTCACCTTTGATAGCTCCTTCGCCACCGCCAACATAGGTACACTGCCGGCTGCCGAACCCCGTCTTCCGTGATGTTGCTACCACCTTGTCGCATGTCTGCTCCACCGCCCACAGTCGGGATGCTAACTCCCATGGCTATTCGTCTAAGCCTGGAGAACTTGCCCTCTCTTCCCTCTCCCCAACCCCACTCCCAAAACCTTGACCCTAACTCCATTGTTATTTGTCGAGGTCACCTAATCTAGAGGAGATGGGGTCAACAGAGTTGGAGGGGAAGCAGTGGATTTGTGAGTATGGTGCATGAAAAGTGGTGTGTAATCATGTAACTGAAAAGATTGTCTAGGTCGTAATGCTTAGTGACTAAAGAGTTGTCGTCGCACGCGGTGATTCACCTTGTGAGGATTTTCTCCACCGGCCACTCGGGTCCCCCCCCCCTCTCCTCCTTTCCCCACATTGTGTTGGATGCATTGGGGAAAATAATCCATCTCTCATCTGGTTCTTGTAAGATTTAAGGTTTATTTTGAATAAAATCTTTAGAGGTAAGGTCTATAAACTTGTATAGGGTTTATCTTCCACAATATTTCTGGACGTAGATTGTTCAGGATCTTTTTCTATCTCTTTTTTTATGTCTATGTTGTTTGCCAGAAATTAACCCAATGTGACCTAGGAGATTGATTTTTCGAGTTGCTACAATCCAATTGATAGTGTCAGCATTAGGGTCGGGTTGCTGATTTGTTTGGTGGTGTTAGTTTTGTTTCGTTGATCTATCAGAAGAGCAAAGATGGTGGCTGACACTCGTTCAAAAACTAGCTTTTGTACGTGTCGGAGTTAGTCAATGTAGTGGTTGCGCTCAATCGTTTGCTTATCTTTTAATGTCTTTCAAGATGTGGTGCCTTACTTTCTACGTTGGTCAAAAATTAAGCTGTCTTTTGTAGAATATAACAATTAACAAGCCCATGTGAGCATATGCAATGATAGTTATCTAGATATACTAGAAAAGATGCCCGTGCATTGCAATGGATAGAGCTCATTTAATTTGTACATATGTGTGGGTGGATAAATAATCACAGCCCATTATTTCGTATGAAAATCCGAATCACTTATTACTAAATAAAAGATTATGTGTGAGCAAATCTTTTATATACATGTTTTTTAGTAACTCAAAAGCAAATGTCGTAAAATAGTACGATAAAAAACCTAAAAGTCAAATTCAAAATTAAATTCTAAATAGGATAAAATTCAGAATTATTGTGAATCCATTCCAATTTAAAATTTGAATTATAGGAAGAAGCATAAGCCAAACAGTGAGGCATTCAAATACAAGCTCGATTTGCGTCCAATTTTATCTCAATTTGGGCAGGAATTAATGGCGGATAGAATCAGCAACTTCGATCATCTTTATTCCGGTTGGCATGTCCTTTTCAAAAGTAAAATTGATCCTTATAGATTACTGTAACGGTATCCCTGGTAGTGCGTATGAGCATGTACAGAGACTGACTTGAAATCATGCTAACATGTCCAAGGAATCGTGTTGTGTAATACGAATAAAATCGGATGATCTGAGCAATGACGTATGTGATATCCACGCGGACTCTGCGAGTTTCATTCGCTTGGTATCCACATCACATGAACTTTTTTCTGCAGTTTGCTCGCGAGTCGTGACTTTTCAATGAATGTTACGTGTGAACAGAATCGGATACGGATGACGTATCATAGCTTTGACAAAAAAGCATCTCCAATTTTTAAATCGCGAGCGAGGACGACGCGGTCCCAATCGAACATGCAGCAAGGGCAAATCAAGTACACGACGGCATCGTGGGCCCAATCGTGCATGCGGAAAATCACGCACGCGAGGTCGTTATGGGCCCAATCACAGTGGCACATAAAGGCGCGTGTGGAAAACTCACTCAGGCACGAGCCCAATTGCTACGTGTGGCAAGGGGCACGTGAAAAGGTACGGGCCCAAATTAATTCGCATGTGTCTCGGATAAGATGGACACTTTGGCGTAAGTAAAGAAAGGAAGGATTCGACCGAACAATAAAATTAAAACCGATTCAAACACGGATGACGTACCAAAATTCTAGCGGAGCGGAAGTATTTTTAATTTTTATAATAGTAGAGTAGAGATAGAGATGTATGCAGCGCGGAGATAGTTTATATGGTACGTAGTAATGGTTGTCAAAGATACTATTCACGCTCTTAAGAAAGATTTTGTAGACGTTGCAATTGCCAATAGCACATGCCAATATTGCTCCTTCTTTACCAAAATAAATCTCGTAGTTCTTTGTGTGCTTCCTTACGTGAACCTTCTTCTGTATATCGTCTGGAACCCCGATACATTTGACCAAATCTAAGTCCAGTTGAACTCTGAACAGATGGATCGCAATATAATCCATCGGGATTTCCCAGTTTGCACGCTACTGCTTCTGCATACACGCCGTGCCACCGAATCGCCGCCTCCACCTTTGCCGACCACCCCTCCTCCTCCGCCACCGCCACCGCCGCCGCCGCTCTTTCTCCACCAATGGCGAGCAGCAGCTCGCCGTGTAAGCTCGTCTCTTGCGGCGACAACCGCCACTTCATGTTCCGGGTTGACGGGGCGGCGATACGCCGGCCCGTCGGGCGCATAGTCAAGGAGACCTGCGAAATCGGCAATGGCTACACATGCGAAGCATCTCTTTTCGTGCCGTCATTACTGGGTGAGAGAAAGGTGATGATGATTCTGGCCGTGACGGTAAACAGCGACCGAGCTCAGTCGTTGGCGAGAGCGCACAAGGTGTTCATTGACATGGCACTCTTGGACGATACCAAGTCGCCTGTTCTTCCGCCGTTCGCCAGATCGGTGATGTCGCCGTCCGCCGCTGCAGGTAGCAGTCCTAAGCTGCCGCCGCCCGTCGCCGGGAGCAACCTAGCTGCTAGCTGCAAACTGGTAGCCTCGAGGGATCACCTCTTGGCCAACTGTGTAAAAGGCGGCATCCTGGCGGCGTTGTGCTGGGTTGTCTTTGTTCCCTCGTCGCCGCGGTCGCCGTACTCGTTGTTAGCCCACTGCCTTGCCACCATGTCAAACGGTCGAGACCTCACCGACGTCTGCTTCGACGTCGACGGCAAGAGTTTCCACGCGCACCGCCTCATAATGGCGCGTCAGTCGGAGGTGTTTAGGGCAGAGCTACTTGGCTCCATGGCCGAGAGCAAGATGGAGTGCATCACCATCTCCGACATGAGCGCCTCCACCTTCAAGCACATGCTCCACTACATCTACTGCAACGACCTGCCCACCTGTGTAAAAGACACAGACGATCAGTCCTCCTGGATCTTCGAATTGCAGCACCTGCTCGTCACCGCCGATCGATACGGAGTGGATACGTTGAAGGATTTGTGCGAGGACACGCTCTGCGCTGACATCACCACGGACACGGTGACATCAACACTGGAGCTGGCGGAGACGAGATCATATCCGAAGCTAAGAACGTCCTGTCTTGTATTCCTATCGAATACACAAAATTTCGCCGAGGTGGCAACGACTAAGGAGTACTATAATCTGATACAGAGCTACCCGAGTGTGCTGTCCGAGATAAGGAACAGGTTTAAGAGACCACGGCCGTCTCTGATGCTAGCTCCGTCAACCGTCACCGAAAATCAAAACAAGAGACCACGGCTGTCTCCTAAGCTAACTCCATCAGCCGACACCAAAGATGAAAACAACCCTTAGTGTTCCTATTTTTTTTATTTTGGGAACAGAACTTGAAGAGTGACACCGTAAAGTAATTTAGTGTTTTTGTTGGTATATTCACAGGATGCATGATGTTCAGCATTTGGATGTAATCTTTTTTCTGTGTGTATACCAATATGTTTAATTAGGTTTTAAGCCTTTTTTCGATTGTTAGGAAGGTATATAAATCCCAAAAGGTTAAACAAAGTTCATTTTCGATGAGAATTTATTAATGAGGCCAGGGATTTGTACCTGGTTTGTGTAATAAGAGATGCCACTTAGAGGTGTATGAGCATGGTGTGCATGTTGTTTTGTGTTCAACATATAATTGAAAAAAAAATGTCAATGACATAATGCTTCTTGACTTAGGCTGTGTTCGAAGCCAGCTTTCCCAACCGGGAACTGTGCGCACGGAATACGGAGCGGTCCATTAGCGTGTGATTAATTAAGTATTAGCTATTTTTTTCAAAAATAGATAAACATGATTTTTTAAACAACTTTCGTATAGAAACTTTTTTTTAAAAAACACACCGTTTAGTAGTTTGAAAATTATGCACGCGAAAAACGAGAGAGGAAAGTTGAGAAGAGGCTCTCCCGAACACAACCTTAAAAGTCTCGGCATCTTTGCATGAAATTCCCCTCGTGAGGTCTCTCCATTGGCCTGCTCGAGTCCCCCTCCTTCTTTGCCTTCGGTGCATTGGCTATATGCATGGGGTAAGAGACTTGTCTCTCATTTCATTCTAGTTTATATGTTTTATGTCTTATCTCGAATAAAGTTATAAGTTGTCTAGATTCAATTTCCATGATATTCATTGCGGTAGGTGGGAATAAATGGCTAGGTGGGACCCACTAGGTGAAGCATTTGATATTTCGCGTGCATTAGACACGTGATGCTAAGTGTTTTCGATTTTTCTCATGTTTCGTAATCGTCGATGGGGACTGTAGAGTAGAGCCCCTAGGACTAGGGATTGAGGGGTGATTTGGATACCTCTCAAATTTTAATAGTGTTTTTTATTTATGAGAAATATGATTTAAGAAATAGTCCGCCGGTTTTCTCCATAGGTTTCACCACACATACATCATTGCTTTTGTTCCAAAAAATAATATATAAATGCTTATACTGCTCCTCAGTCCCAAAATAAGTGTAACACTCACATCTCGAGAAAACTTTAGTGAAGAGTACGAAAGATCAAAATGTCCCACATTAATTCAAAATAGTATTGGTGGGGAAGGTAAGGAGTATTGAAGTGATAAAACTTCTCGATTCGATCAAGATTAGGTAACATGGTAGAAATCAATTTATTTTAAGACAAAGTATGAACTTTGAAAACCAAGTTATTTTGACACTGCCCTCTGTCATTTGTCCCTGGGAGCTCACCTTCTCCCTCCTCACGGCATGCCACGTTTGGTCTTCCTCTGGCTCATGAGCTAAACGAGCTAACGAACTAGTCGAGCCAGCCTTTTGGTTCATTATGATAATGAGCCGAGTCGAGCTAGCTTGTTATCCCAACGAGCGAGCCTGATGTCCACCCCTAGGTATGAAGGGAGTACTTCCACTATTCACACATATACTCCTTTTGTCGCAAAAAGAATCAAACTGGTTTGATTCTCCCTAGGAGGGAGTAAGTATTTGGAGGGTTTAAAATTTGTATATAATATACGGTAGCGCTATTCCACGAATAATAATTCGAGCGCCGTACAACGCCTTCTCCTTGCTGTTTTTCCATTTTTTATCACCCCACCTTTCCTCCGCATCCCACCTTTTCTCGGTTCGGTTTTTTTCGTTTTTTACCACCCCACCTTCCGTGTTTCTTTTTTCTCTTTTCCATCTTATATATGCTTTATCAATGGGCCTGGTAAAATATTAACCATCCAGATTTTTCTCTTATTCATTCCTTCTCTATAGTTTTTCTCTTTTCGCGTTTTAGTAAAATATTTGTTAGTATCTCCGCACGTCTCAAAAGTAACGAATTTACTCCGTGGAGTTTTCATTTACTCCTAGCCTCCCACATCTGCTCATTCTAAAGTAACAAATTTACTCGCATGAATGCCTCCACATCGTATGATGCTATATTTAGATGGTCATAAAAGAATTACTACCAGCTTACAACGCTAGTAATTCTTTTACCAATATTATTTAGATTTCATGGTCTGTGAGTAAAACAATTACTATCTTCCTCTCGATATAGTCCATGATGTCATAGCCGCCGTGTAGTAATATGTTTACTGATGTGTTCAATACACATTATAAGAGTAAAAACTGATATTTTGTGGTCTGCGAGTAAAACAATTACCACCTTCCTCTTGATATAGCCATGATCTTGTCGCCACCGTGTAGTAATATGTTTACTGATGTGTTCAATATACATTATAAGAGTAAAAACTGGTACTAAGAGTATTCACTAGTGGAGAAACCATCGTTCGTCGGTCGGCCGAATTCCACAATAGTCCCGGTTGCAATAAAAACCAGGGCTAAAGATGATCTTTAGTCCCGGTTAAAAAGGGTAACGGGCATATTTGATTTTTAGTCCCGGTTGGTAACACCAACCGGGACTTAATATCATCTTTAGTCCCGATTCAAATGCTGTCAGGGCTTGTCAGGCCCCCCGGGATCTTTAGTCCCGGTTGGTAACACCAACCGGGACTAAAGATGGTAACTTTAGTCCCGGTTGGTGTTATGAACCGGGACTAAAAATCCCGGGGATCTTTAGCCCCGGTTCATAACACCAACCGGGACTAAAGTCCCACCCCTATATATATGTCTTCTTCCTCCTCCAGCTGCCCGAGCAAGCTTCAAAATTTCTTCAAAAAAGAGGGGAGGTCATGCCAAAATTTCTAGTGAATTTATTTTGGTGATTATATACAAATCGGAGGTGCCTAAAAGGTTAGCAACTTCATCCTCCAATGTTTTTTTTGTCATATTACATTTGGAGCTATGTTTTGCACACTTTTTTGTCTCCAAAATTTAGTTGTAAGTTGATGAGAGAGAAAATTTGTGTGGGGAAGAAAGAATATATAGAAATTTTGTTTATTTGCTAAAGAAGGTTTTATAAAATAGTTGAGAAGGAAAATATAGTGAAAGTTAATCTTAAATAATAGAAAACAAACTAAAATGAAAATTAAAAGAAGTACAACACATTAATATTAGTTAAAACTTTAGAAATAGTAAATAAGAATTATTTGGTGTAATATTTTATAATTTTTGTATGAATAATGATATGTCATTATTGTATGACTGTTGAAAGAGTTTGTAATTATTTTATAATTATTGTATGACTGTCATTATTGTACGAATAATTATTTGTGTACGATTTTTTTTCATATCATGTAGATGGATCGGCAATGGATGTACGCTGACCGGTGGTCCAAAGAGTTTATTGACGGCGTGCATTATTTTTTGAGAGTGGCCGAAGCTAACAGGCATAAGAGTTTTATTTGTTGTCCATGCAATAAGTGTAAGAATCAGAAGGAGTATTCTGCATCCATGACTATTCATTTCCACTTGTTTGAGTCGGGGTTCATGCCAAGCTATAACTGTTGGACATCCCATGGAGAGCAAGGGGTTGAAATGGAAGAAGATGAACTGGAAGACGACAATATTCCGGACTTTGCTCAGTACGCTGGATTTGAAGAAAATTAAACGGGCGAGGAGGAAAGGGATGCTGATGGTAACGACGTTGCGGGTGACCATGGTCAGATGTTGCAGGACGCCAAGGAGGACTGCGAAAGTTAAAAGGGGGCCCATAAATTGGACAAGATGTTAGAGGACCACAGAACGTCGTTGTACCCAGGTTGCGAGCAGGGGCACAAAAAGTTGGATACCATTCTGGAGTTCTTGCAATAGAAGGCAAAAAATGGTGTTAGTGACAAGGCATTTGGCGATTTATTGAAACTCGTCAAGAACATTCTTCCGGAGGGAAACAAATTGCCCGAGACAACGTACGAGGCTAAGAAGATAGTCTGCCCTCTATGACTAGAAGTTCAGAAGATTCACGCATGTCCGAATGATTGTATCCTATATCGCGGTGAGGAGTACGAGAACCTAGAAGCATGCCCTATTTGCAAAGCACTACGATACAAGATTAGACGAGACGATCCAGGAGAAGTTGACGGGCAGCTAACAAAGAAGAGAATTCCTGCTAAGGTGATGTGGTATTTCCCTATAATACCACGACTAAGGTGTTTGTTCAGGAACAAGGGAAATGCTAGAATGATGCGATGGCACGCTGAAGAGCGTCAACAGGACGGGATGCTGAGACACCCCGCCGATGGTTCGCAGTGGTGAAACATCGACAGAAAATTTAAAGACTTTGGAAAGGACGCACGAAACATACGGTTTGGTTTAAGTACGGATGGCATGAATCCTTTTGGAGAGATGAGCAGCGGCTATAGCACTTGGCCCGTTACGATGTGTATCTACAACCTCCCCCCTTGGCTATGCATGAAGAGGAAGTACATAATGATGCCGATTATTATTCAAGGCCCCAAGCAACCTGGTAACGACATCGATGTGTTCCTAAGACCACTGGTCAAAGATCTTAAACTGTTGTGGAAAAAGGAAGGTGTCCCCGTGTGGGACGAGGACAAACAGGAGAAGTTTAACCTATGAGCGCTGCTGTTCGTAACCATCAACGATTGGCCTGCACTTAGCAACCTATCCGGGCAGTCCAACAAGGGTTACAAGGCTTGCACTCACTGTATGGATGAAATAGAAAGTATGTATCTTAAGCACTGTAGGAAGGTTGTGTCCATGGGTCATCGTCGATTTCTTGCTGCAAACCACCTAGTACGGAAGAAAGGCAAGCACTTTGAATATAAGGCAGACCACCGTACGAAGCCTAAACATTGCAGCGGGAAAACGGTGTTTGCTATGGTGAAAGATCTTAAAGTAGTGTTTGGAAAGGGGCCTGGCAGCCAGCCTATAGAGAGCGAAGATGGTCACGCGGCGATGTGGAAAAAAACTCCATATTTTGGGAGTTACCCTATTGGGAATTCTTGGA